AAACATATTTGTCACTAAGACAACAGATTTTGCAGTTTAATCATAAAAATTTTTCCTTCTTAGATTTGGTGGATAGTGGTCTATTGTCGCTAGATTATAAATCTTGTCTAAATCTTCCTTCTTCCTTATTAGATTTTTCGCATTAAAAAAAATAAAATGTAAAGCTTATTATTAAATGCAATTGTAAATTACCTTTTCAGAAGTAAGATTAGTCTAAAAATTCAGAAATCTATGACTTCTGATTTTTTTCAGTAGCCCACAGCTATGTCTCCTGGAACCTGGTGCAATCAAGAGCTGCCTGTGTTGGCTGACATCATCGCATCATCGTGACTCACATTTTTTTAGAGCTTTAAAGCATAAAAAGCACTTTCACATGTTAATACTATAGACCTGCTATGAGTAATATAGAAGGCTAACATTCAAACAAAACTGGAATATAGAAGAAACTATGCATCTGTTACATCTGTTTTTTAATAACAATATTAGAGTTCTTACCTCCTTTTCTAAAAAAGAAATAGCCTTGAACATCTTTATATTGGGTCCCAGCTATTTGCTTTAAAATATCTCTAAGACACTTTGCCTGTCTCTAATCTATTGTGTTTTATGCCTCATTGTTAGAACTTCCTTTCTCTAAGCCAGTGTATAAAATACAGGCAACTTATTTTCAAAGTATTATGTTTGAAGAGTACGCTGTGGCTTCCAGTTTAAGATGACTGAGTGGATCATTTCTTTTCCTTCTCAAAATTCCATTAAGATGACAGTGAATAAATACAAGAGGAAAGGCTTCAGGGGATTTCAGGGTGATAAATTTCTACATAAGTTATTATACTGATAGATAATCAAGGGTAGAATAACCTGTAGCCAGGAGCAGATACTGGAGAAGCTCTAACAGAAGAAGGAGAGGTTCTAAGCTGAACCTTGGAGAAACCTTAAATTTAGGATCACGGATACAGAGAGTAGGATTGAGTTGCATGCAGGTAATCAAAGTGATTCAGTAGAGCATTGTTCTGCTGGCCTGGAAGCCTCTCCTACATCATTTCCCCTCTTCTCCGCCCCCCATGTACCACCACCACCAATATGTACAGCAAGTGGCATAGTAACAGTACAATGAAAACTAGAAAGCTGATCCTAAAGAGTAAATTAAAGTTTCTAGGCTGCTAACCAAAAGGTTGGTAGTTCAAATCCACCAGCTGTTCCTTGGAAACCCTGTGGGGCAGTTCTGCTCTATCTTACAGGGTCGCTATGAGTCGAAATCAACTTGATGGCAATGGGTCTGGTTTGGAGCCCTGGAATACAGAAGAAACTATGCACCTGTTACAGTGGCGCAGTGGTTGACAGCTATGGCTGCTAACCAAAAGGTCAGCAGTTCAAATCTACCATCCACTCCTTGGAAACCCTATGGGGCAGTCCTGTTCTGTCCTATAGGGGTGCTGTGAATTGGAATCGACTCCTCGGCAATGAGTATGGTATGGTATTTGGTAGTTCAGGTTTCTAGTGTGAAAGTAGGGAGCCCTGGTGGCCGAATGGTTAAGTGCTCGGCTGGTAACTGAAAGGTCCGTCCTTTGAACACTCCAGTTGCTCTGCAGGAGAAAACAACTGATGATCTGTTCCCATAAAGAATACAGACTAGGAAATGCTATGGGACAATTTTACTCTGTCCTAAAGGGTCACTATGAGTTGGAATTGACTAGACACACAACAACAACAGTGTGGACGTCCCTGGCACAAATCATTACACGCTTGACTACTAGCTGAAAGATTGGCTATTCGAACCCATTCAGAGATGCCTCGGAAGACAGGACTGGCAATCTGCTTCCAGAAGGTCATAACCTTGAAAACTCTATGGAGCAGTTTTACTCTACACACCTGGGGTGGTCATGAGTTGGAATTTACTTGACAGCAACAGTATGAGTGACATACATAGAAAGAAGTCCTCCTCATTGTGATTTTAGAGAAGCCCAGCCTACGTGTCTGGATCCCAGCGTGAAGACTTCCAGTGTCATACTTATTAACTTAAGCAGAACTTGAAGCAAGCCCTTGCACTCAGGGAAGAACAATACTGGGGAAGTGCAGGCAGTGGCAGAAGACAGCCAAACCAGGTCCCTATATGAAAATAACCATGTCTGTCCCTCATATGTTTCAGCTCATAATGGTGGATGGTCTTGCATTGTAATCAAACCAACAGTAAAAATACGAGTCAACAAATAGAGAAGTTAAGCCTAGAGGTAAAACAATCAGAATAGAAGAGAAACTTAAAAATGTCTAATGAGTATCTTAAGAGATTCCACAAAGTAAGTGAAGAGTGCTCTGAAATAAGTTCAGTCTGAGAACAAAAAGGTTCTTGAAAAATTTAAAGAATTTAAAAAGATTTTGCTAGTATGAGAAGATAAATTAGGAGAAATTATCCCAAATGTGCAACATTGAAAAAGAAATGGAAAAGGACATTAAAAAAAAAAATTAGAAGAACAGTCCAGGAAGTTCAGCATTCATATAAGAAGAGATTCAGGAAAGGAAGGGAGAAATTTTCAAATAAACAAAAAACCCCAAACTTGTTGCTATCAAGTTGATTCTGACTCATAGACATAATATTTAAAAACATTTCCCACAACTGAAGAGCACAAATGTCTATTTCTGCAGCCATTCCAGTTGAGAGCAGAAAGAGAGAAGGGTTTTTAAAGCGAAGTTTTTGTTGCAGTGGAGGGGAAATATAGGGTGAGTGAAACTATAGAGTACCTGATGAGTTTGAATATGTTGAGCAGAGATTTGTTGACTGTTGTGTTCGGGAATAAGTTAGTGCTAGTTGCGCAGAAAACTAAGCATATGGAAAAATAGTGATATGAGTATTACAAATTTAGTGAACTTCATAAATAATATTTGTTTTCTAATAATGTAAACACTGAATATTTGAGAATAAAAGGGTAACCTAGTTTTGGAAGGGGAAAAGAGAAGTATGCAGGAGGGAGACAGCAAAATAATAGAAAATATTTAAGACTGATAATAGCAGTATAAAATATTATTTAAAAATATAGAGGAACTAGCTAAAAGAATTTAAGGTGGTAAGGATCAACTTTTTTTTCATATAAACATTATAATAAATAAAATAGGTATAATGTATAAATTTGTAGGTATAATATATAAAGTGGCAACATACTTTTATTATTGCTTTTGTATATTTTAGAGTGCAGTGGAATAGTTGTGTGTAAGTTAAGACTCAGGAGCAAACTGACAAAAAAAAAAAAATACCCATTGCCATCCGGTCAATTCTGACTCACAACGACCCTATAGAATAGAGTAGAACTGCCCCATAGGGTTTCCAAGGAGCGGCTGGTGGATTCGAACTGCCGACCTTTTGGTAGCAGCTGGAGCCCTTAACCACTGCGTCACCAGGGCTCCTAAAATGACTGAAGTAATAGGGAAATTTTACTGTCACAAAACCGAAAAGTCCAGACGTAATTCTTTAAAAACATCTTGTTCCAGGGGCTCAAATGAGATATCCAAGATTCTCTTAACAGCCCTTCTCTTTTTCCTCCTTAACTTCATTCTCAGGCCTTACAGGGTGATGAAAATGTAATGTTTCTTTCCAAAAGCTTCCATAGATGCCGTGTAGTTACCATACTTGAAACAATTTAAGTCACATATCTATCCTTGAACCAGTATTGTAACAAAGCATTTCTTCTTCCAATCCTACAGGTTCCAAAATTTCTAGATGCTGTTTTTTTGCTTTGTTTTCATTCTTTCTTACAGTGGATAATTCTTTTCTGAGCTTGTCTCTTGCTTGTCATACTTTGTCAAATGCAGCTAGTAACAGTCAAGATATGCTAATAACAACAGTTTTCCACCATCTTCCACTAAAGCTACAAGTTTATTAAGCATTATCTGCCACCTTAGTTATTGCAGGAAACCCTGGTGGCATAGTGATTAAGAGCTACAGCTGCTAACCAAAAGGTTGGCAGTTCGAATCCACCAGACGCTCCTTGAAAACTCCATGGGGCAGTTCTACTCTGTCCTATAGGGTCACTATGAGTCAGAATCGACTTGACAGCAACAGGTTTGATTTTGTTTTTTTTTTTTTTAGTTATTGCAAGTACAACTTCCCCCTCCCCCCATCAAGTCTCATTATCTTTAAACAAAAAATGTTTATTTCTCACTTATACCGTGTGTCCATTGTGGGTCAGGAAGGAGGCTCTGTGCCTCCTAGTCACTTAGGAACCCAAGTTGAATGAACAATCCAACCTCCATTTTAAATGTTGAAAGGTGCTGTGCGAAGGGAGAGGAGAGCCGTGGCAGGTCGGACACCAGCAACTGGCTGCTCTGACCTGGAGGTGGCATGTGTCATTTCTTTCACCACTCACTGTCCACAACTATTTATTTGTGCTCTCCAACCACAAAGGGGCCAGAAAGTGCAACTCTACCAAGTACCTAGAAGCTGGGAGAACTAGAACTGTTTGGCTAACACCACTAGTGACTACTACAGTGTCCCACAGGACATCATAGTTTCTGTGAACCAGACCAATCACTTATCTTTTGTGCATTTCTGTAGAACCTATGGCCAAGAATATGGAGAGCCCTGTTCTGGTAGCATGGCACCCGTCAGAAGTTTTTGTATTTATTTCCAGTGCATCGTAAACATTTATATTTAGTTTGGCCCACAACTGTTGTTGGTTTAGTTAGGTCGATTCCAACTCATAGTGACCCCATGTAACAGAGCAGAACTACCCCATAGGGTTTTCTAGGTTTTAGTCTTTTATGGAAGCAGATCGCCAGGTCTTTCTCTTGCAGAGCTGCTGGGTGGGTTCAAACTGACAACTTTTTGGTTAGCAGCCAAGTGCTTAACCATTGTGCCACCAGGGCTCCTTTTTTGATCCACAGCTACATATCTTAAATATAAAATTTGGGTTTTTAATAAAAAACATAAATGCTATTATAAGCGAGCTTTTGAGAGTTAAAACACAGAATCCCTTTAAGATGATACCATGACCCTGATAACAATTTGTATTTAGGTCTCTTTGTCTGCTCTGGGGCTTACGTGCTCACCAGAGGATCCTTGGCTGCCTCCCGAACCTTGTACTCTCAGCTGTTGAACAATGTACTGCACCTCCCACTCCAGTTTTTTGAAACTAATCCCGTAGGCCAGATGATTAATCGGTTCACCAAGGTAAGTCATGGCATATCTTATTAAATAGCATACCTAAGAGTGATGATACATACATATTTAGTGCCTTATCATTCCTTATAAATATTTTATTTTAAAAAAATCCTCCTAAAAAGAAGGGATTGCACTTAGTATAAATTTAATTGTTAAATTTATTTCCAGTTCTTGGGATATTTATAAATTGATGTATAAATAGCATCACATCTTAAACATAGATGATCAAAATAGCACTTGAATTTCACTTAAAGAATCTAGGACGTACATGTGCTTTGGTGTGTACACCTGTATTTCTTAAACACATTGAGTTTGAGAATCACAGGTTTAGTCTGAGCAAAGGAAGAAAATTAAAATCTATATGGAGATATATCTGGGCTTTGAAAACATTTATGCCTTTAAGAAAACTATCAAATCACTTACGGTGAATAGAGGATGAGTGGAGATCTCTAGAGTGTCTCAGCTTAGCTAGAGGGTTTTCTCTGTTTTTCGTTTACTATTAAGCATTTATAATCGCACTGCCCAATAAAAATATAATGCAAGCCACATATATTTTTTTTAATTTTTTAGTAGCCACAATAAAAAAGTAAAACAGAAGCAGTTAAAGTTAATTATAGCATTTTATTTAACACAGTATATCCAAAACATTATTTCAAACTGTAATCGTAAAAAATTACAGTGAAATATTTTGCATTCTTTTTCATCCAAAGTCTTTGAAATCTGTTTTGTTTTTTATGCTTATAGTACATCTCAACTTGCAATAGCCTCATTTCATGTGCTGAGTAACCACATGTTGCTAATGGTTCTTTTAACTATTGACAATTTATTCCTGATATACTTTTTAAAAAAATTTTATTGTGAATTAGGTGAAAGTTTACAGAGCAAATTAGTTTCCCACTAACAGTTTTTATATTAAACAGTGCAAGCCCTTAACCTTAAAATATGTTAATATGTTTATATGTGTATACAAAAATTCATTTGTGTGTGTGTGAAGGGGTGGTTGATAATGATGCATGAAAATATAAATGAAAGTACATAGCATATTAAATGTTTCATGGATTTCTCTGAAAAATTATGGAAGAACTTGGTCACTGACGTTCTCTTTCCCAGTGGGCATCTCCAATTACTTCCTACTGAATAGCTATCATTTTCATACCGTTAAATTTTAAATGATTGGGACTTGAGCAGATGGGGGTGTTGGGAGGTGAGTTACAAGGAGAGCCAGGAAGCTCCATATGAATATGATGCTTTTTCACTGTTTGGTATATGAGGTTATCAGGGAAGTCCTAAAGCAGAACCGAGAAATAATGAAATTCCATCTCTACTCTTCGTATCAGTTTTTTTCTGAATTGAGAAGTCCCATCGCTTCAAGGTTCAATGTTTTCCTGTTCTTAGTGATCTCTGTGTCATACCTAGGACCACAAATTGAGACTTAAGTTATTTACAGCAAGGTGCGAATTAGTGCATAACCATTCCCTTGTCCCTCTCTCTCTTTTCCATTGTCCACCTCCACCTGTCCATTTTTAATTTTATAAATAATTATTTTGCTTTTCTGCCTCTTCTAATATGGGTAGGATCCCACCACCCAAGAAGGCTGTGTTCTCAGTGAACACCAATGCCACAGTTGTGTTTTATAATTTATGAGTAATGAATAGAGATGAGCTAATGCCCCTAAAAACCCAACTACCAGCTTGGCATTCTGGGGATTTTTTGAATAGGATTTGACTTTGGTTGTATAAATTAAGTGCCCGGTAGTTGTCATTACCGAAACCAAAACCTGTTGCCGGCGAGTTGATTCCAACTCATAGTGACCTTATAGAACAGAGGAGAACTGCCCCATAGAATTTCCAAGGTGCACCTGGTGGGTTTGAACTGCTGACCTTTTGGTTAGCAGCCGTAGCACTTAACCACTACACCACCAGGGTTTCTGTAGTTGTCACTAGGAAATATAAATTGCTTGATTATAGACAGCTTCTTCCTAGAAGACTCTTAATTGGGACAGTTGGCCATGAGGTGGGGTGAGTTGGGCAAAAACTATGTAGACTTATTTGATCATCAGAATGTTACATCTGGATAAGCTTTTTTCTTTTTTTCGTTGAGTGATCTGTTTCTCTTTCCCCTCATTCTAAACCATGAAAAGTTAAAAATAAAGTGATCTAGTATTAAATTTTTCAGGACATGTCTGTGGTTGATGTACGTTTCCATTACTACTTACGATCCTGGCTGAACTGTACATTGGATGTTATTGGAACAGTTTTGGTCATTGTGGCAGCTTTACCACTATTCATTCTGGGAGTGGTTCCCTTGATTTTCCTCTATTTCACTATACAAGTAAGTACATGGATTTTTATTTGTATTAATAACTTATAAGTCTAGTCAAATATAATTTCAGACCCACGTAAACCTCCTATTGTCCAGGTTCTCCAAGAAGCAGACTCCAAGAAGTGATTAGATATGCCAGAGATTTATAAGAGGAAATGCCTGTGGAAGATAAAGGGAAAAAGCAGAAGAAGACAGGGAGAGCCCTCAGCAATGCATATCTGATCTCTGTGAAGGGGAGGAGGAAGGAAGGAGGACTGGGCAGAAATGGTGTTGGACGGCAGAGAAGTTCCAACAAAATTTCAGCCAATTTAATGGGAAATCCTCCACCAAAATCACCCATTGGTCCCGCATGTTCCTGGGATGGGTCTGCTTTAGTGCTCACTGCCATGCACAGTGATTGGCTGAGAACAACCTGTGGGAAAAGTGGCCTCCATGCTAATACACTGGTGTACTAGTGGATCTAGAGCAGCTAAGGCTGTCAGTCAGTTATGGTCCCTGCAGCAGAAGAGCTGAATCATGCATTTTTATGGCCACCATAAGCCCTATATATTGTGTACATTATAGCAGAAAATTAATTTGCTAGAATTTTGAGGAGAAAAACAGATACTGCCTTTGGTACTATTACCAATCCTAGTCAGGAAATGATTGCTGGAAGAACTAGAAATGTTTTTTATGAGACTTATATGATATCTTTAGATTACAGTTAAAATGTGGTTAACCAGTTTGAACTCCAGATTTGTGTCACCATGAAGCTACAGTGTAAAATGAAATTACCTTGTTTTAAATTAATTATCAGAGTATTCTGAGGCTTTTTTTTTTAACAAGAGGATACATTTCTTGCAGTTTCACGCTTTCCAAAAACGTAAGTTTTAAAATTCATATTAGAGTTTAGTGTGCTCAAGCCAGAGTGTTAATCATTTTCTCACTTCTGCACCTGAGCTATCACTATTCCTCCAACTTCGTGTGTAAGATCTTTCTAGGTCTTACTCCACCTTTGTGGCCTAGCTCACATTGAGTTTTCTGTGTGAAGCATTCTCTACCAAAATAGTGCACAGAGATCTGACTCACCCGTATATTTTGGGTTTGTTATGCTGCTACTACTATATGATTTTTTTTTTTTTAGGAGACCACAGATTGTCTCCTCACTGAGACTGGAGGCAGAGATTAAAGATCAATGGATGGTAGTGAAGATCAGTTAGATCTACTTAAAAACAAATAACATAAAACTCATGTCACAAATGAAATTATATGTGATAGTCTAGTGGTCGATAAGCTATAATTGAGTGACCAGGGCTGGAAAGGGGGCTAAAAACTATGGTTTCGTTATGGGAAACTTAGGGTATGAGCCCTGAATTTGGATTTGGGAGCCTGGAGTTCTAGCTACCTTTCTGACTTCTGTGCTTGGCGCATCATTTTCCATTCCCAGGCATCATTTCCTTCCCCTGTAAGATAAAAGGTTTGATGTAGATCATTGCTATTCAAAGAATGGCCCACAGACACATGAACCGTACCAAACATCAACCAGATCAGAATCTCTCAGGGTGGCGCCCGGAAATCTGTGTTTTAAGAAACTCTCCAGATGTTCTTGCTGAAGTGGAGAAGCACTGATCTAAATCAAAGATTCTTAAACTGGATTTTCTGGACAGTTTCATGGAAAGACTCCATAGCTTTTACAAATCACTGAAATTTTATGAAGAGTTCTTAGTGTGTATGCATATGTACATTTGTGAAGAGTTCTTAGTGTGTATGCATATGTACATTTGTCTAGGGGTAAGTATCTTACCTTAATCACCAACTCAGAGGGATCTGTGACCCCTCTAAGGATCTAAACAATCTCAAAGTCTCCTTTCAGCCCTAACATGCCATGAGCCTTTGTATTCTCCAAAGCATTTGGGAATTTGGCATAGAGCAGAACTTATAAAAAGCAAGCTATAAGGCCATATATGTCCTGAGATATGTTTATGTTTAGCTTGCTCAGTGTTTTTACAAAAATAAACACATTTTAAAGTAAAGGATTTTACATAAAATTCCAGATTTAAAGATTTCCTGGGGGGTGAGGGGTCAGAGGGATCAAGAGCTAACAACTTCTTATTTTCATTCTTAGTTTGTAGCAATTATCTAGGTCTGATGCGTGATGGCCCAGTTAACTCAAGACATACTCCTTCCAGCTTTCCACAGTCCCCACCAATCCCTATTGTCCTCAACCTGAGACCATGGGTAAAAAGTTGCTTGTAATTGTGGCTGCACTGGAGGTTTTCTCAGGAAAAAAAGAAATTTTTTTTCTGTAGTTATATTTAAGTATAAAGTAGGTTGTGTAAGTGACCTGCTTCCCACAGATCTGTCTGGTCACGTTTTTAACATGTGGCATAGAGCTTTTTCCATAGTAAGTACTCAGTAATGGTTGTATGAGAGCATTATCAAAGTGATAGTTTGCCCAGTTATATTCTAGTTGTACTGTCCAGAATATTGTACTGTTACAATACTTTGTATTAGTTTCCACAGGGTTTCCAAGGAGCTGCTGGTGGATTCGAACTGCCAGCTTTTTGGTTAGCAGTCATAGGTCTTAACCACTGCACCACCAGGGCTCCATTGTTCTGTTACAAAACTTTGTATTTGTTTCCTGGGGCTGCCATAACAAAGTACCACAAACTTCGTGGCTTAAAGCAACAGAAATTTATTCTCCTAGTTTTAGAGGCCGCCAAAAGTTTGAAAATCAAGGTGCGTACTGGGTTGGTTCTTTCTGAAAACTCTGAGGGAGAATCTGCTGCATCTCTCTCTCCTAGCTTCTGGTGGTCATTGGCAATTCTTGATGTTCTTGGCTTGTAGAGTCCAGTCTCTGCCTCTGCCGTCACGTGGCCTTTCCCTGTGTCTGTGTGTTCTCCTTTTCCGTTTCATAAGGACACTCATGATTGGATTTAGGATCCACTCTAAATCCAGGATGACATCATCTTGAGATCCTTAACTTAATTATATCTGGAAAGAACCTATTCCTAAATAAAGTAAAGTTCACAAGTACTAGGGATTAGGATTTGGACATGTCTTTCTGAGGCTACTATAACCCTAAAAGGCAGTGGTGATTCTGTGGTAGAATTCTCACCTTCCGTACGGGAGACCCGGGTTCAATTCCCAGCCAGTGCACCTCAAGTGCAGCCATGACTTGTCTGTCATTGAAGGCTTGTGTGTTGCTGTGATGCTGAACAGGTTTCAGTGGCGCTTCCAGACTAAGATGGACTAGGAAGAAAGGCCTGGCAATCTACTTCTGAAAAAATCAGCCATTGAAAACCATATGGATCACAATGGTCCGATCCCATTGTGCATGGACCCTCCATGAGTCAGGGGCTGACTTGAGAGCAGCTAACAACAACTAACACTCAACCCTACACAAGGGCCTTGCAGTTTCCAAGTCACTGAAGCAATTTCTGCTACTCCTTTCAGTCTGCCTCTTTCTTTCTTCCCATTAGAGATACTATGTGGCAAGCTCTCGGCAGATTCGGCGGTTAGCAGCAGCATCACGCTCTCCTATCATTTCCCACTTTAGTGAGACTTTATCAGGAGTATCCACAATCAGAGCATTTGGGCATGAACAGAGGTTCATCCAGCAAAACAAAGATGTGGTGAATGAGAACTTAGTCTGTTTCTACAATAGTGTAATTTCAAACAGGTAAGACGGGTAGTCACTTTAATACACTTCTATCAGGACCAGTCTCTTCTTAGATATATTGTTCCCTGACTCCTAAAACAGGAAGAATGTTTTGAAATAGCAATTCATAAAAAAAAAAAAAAAAAATTAAAGCCTTAAGTCAAATTTTAATGATTTATACTCATATAAAACATATGTACTATTTTATAGGAAAAAAGGCCCCAGGTTTGGTGAAGATTAAATAAAATGCTATTAAAATTACAAATGATTAAAAAAAATTCATAGAATGTATTTTATTTGCAATTAATACTTTATAATATTTTGAATTAGAAGTGATAATTTCATGTAAAGGAGAAAAATTGACTATTAGATGTAATAGTAACTGAGCAGGTTTTACTTTTTAGAGACCAATTTAATCATATTAAACAAGTGTATGTAATTGGAGAGTAACTGATCTTCCAATAGGGTTTTTAAATTTCAATGCATAATTTTAGCTGATGTTCTGTTCTTCTGCTTTTTAATTCTGATTAAGTTTTAAGGCAAAATTCTGTAAAAGTAAAATGCATTTTTATGCAGAGGAATCCTTTAAGCCATCCTCCTTGAGACAACTCTGCATTTGGTTGAGTTTCCAAGTAAGGGAGACAAAAAAGAAAGCTGCTGTCAGTGTATGCTTGGGGATTCCCTGGAGGAGCGTTTACTAAGTGCACCAAAAGGTCTGCATCTTAGTTACTCAGAAATGTATTCCATTTCTTACAGGTGGCTGTCTGTTAGACTTGAATTTCTTGGCAACCTAATGGTATTCTTTGCTGCGTTGCTGGCTGTACTGGCTGGCAGTTCTGTAGATTCAGCAACAGTGGGTTTATCCATATCCTATGCCTTAAATGTAAGTAATAATTCGTGGTACGTGGTATGTTTATACTCCAGTTAATTAACACTCTTCTCCTTTGCCTGTTTGAATTACAGATTATATTCACTAAGTAAGGAGCGAGAAATCTGGATTACTCTAGAGGCTCGTTTCTTCCACTCTTTTGGTGGTAGCAGGAAACTGTCTCAGCAGTTCTGAATTAGCACACAGAAAAAACAGGCTGAGCAATGATGACCAGGAAATTTCTGCTGTTACATAGTTAACCAGAAATTCCCTGGTCCCCTATCCTTATAGATATATAGAGTGTGAAAGGGGTAGAGGCCCTCTCCACTGTGGCACGGCCATCCAGCTCTGCCCAGCCTAAACACAGAGATGATGGGCACGCTGAGGAGAGTATAAGCTCTGCGGCTTCTCTGCTTAGAAGTGTTTCCCTTATAACTTCTGCTTTATATTTACACCACATGGCACTAGGCGTATATGGGTTTTCATGTGCCTTTTGTACAATAACAAGTTCCTTAAACTGCTTAATGCAATTCCACATGACCTAACAATTGTTTTAGAAAGACAAGTCGAGATGATTTTGATACCTTCCCTTAGCCCTTTATCCAATACCCTTGAGGCCAGTTGCATTTCAGACTTCAGAACTTGGGTTTCTAGAAAGGAAATATGATGCATATATGTCTGAAGGGCCTAGGGTAGTACCCCATAATAAAACATTACTAGTTCTGCAATGGAACATGTGAATACGCACCCTAAGTGAGTTAAATAAACACTTTAAAGAGCGTCATGCCATTTAAAGTCAGGTTGGCCACCAAATGAGTCGGCACCAAACGTATAGAGAACTTGGAACTATCAGAGTTTTTTGGTTTTCAGAATTAGGTTTGAAGTTACAATGTTGAAGTACCTACATTAGGAGGTAGGGTGAGAAGAACGTAGAATTTAAAAAGAAAGATACAGAGTAGTCAGGAGAATCTTCCTTCTGATGGATGACTGCAGGACATCAAAGGTAATGTTTGTGTGCTATTTTGTTTTTCATTACGATGTACGTTTCTTTAGGAGTATCCCATCTATCTTGGTATTCACCATTTCTTACACCAAGTATGGACTACTTTAATATATGTTTGAATTATACTTATTCTGTCTACTTTCAAGTAATTCCATTATTTATGATATTAATGAGTTCAGTATGCTTAAATACTTATGTGTGTGTATGTATTAAGATACTTACTTCTAAGTTTGTGAAGTAGTTAAAAGAGAGAAATAACCCTAAAAAATGAACACCTATTAAAATTAAATATTATTAATATTATGTAAAAAGGCTGAAGAATATGCATTAAGTACTTGTTTTTTTGTTTGTTTGTTTCACCAGATTACTCAATCTCTGAATTTTTGGGTAAGGAAAGCGTGTGAAATTGAAACCAATGCAGTTTCCATTGAAAGAGTTTGTGAATATGAAAATATGGATAAAGAGGTAAGCATTCCTAAACAACCGATAAATGGATATAGGATTAAAATATTTGAGTGCACCTTGAATTGACATTTAAAAACATAAATTTTAAACAGAAGTTGCATTTCCAAATATATGCTATCATATTCAGCATTTCAATTAAAATTAAAACCTAATTTCTTATAAAAGGCATTATTATTTTCTATATCACTAAAATAGAGGGCAGAAAAAGACACTGCCAATTAAATTAGGACACTCCATAGATTGTAAGATACATCCCTATTTCAGTGATGTTATACAAACAAAATATACTAACCTATCTTTAAAAGGCACAGGGATTTGTCCTCTATGGATGTAGGATAAAATACACAACCTACAGTTATAACTTGGTGGGAATTGTATATTGAGGAGAGTGTCTTTATAGACATCTCATAATTATTTAGAATGTGATGGCACAATTTTTGAATTAACTACATGCTTAATGTGTTTATCTTCAATTCCATTTACTCATCATTTGCCTGTCTGTGGATGGGAAGGAGGAGGAGAATAAATCAGTCAGTTTTGTCTCCTTTAATTAACTGTAATTTGAGAGGTAGAAGAATTAGACTATTGATAGAGTGTAATGTTTGAGTTATCTAAACACTACTCATCTGAATTGCTTCTGCTTCCCAGTTCCATGGATTAACAGGGCAGGTGGTAAAGGTGACTTGAAATATTTCACTTTCTGTATCTTCTTCAACCCATCTATGAAGGTATCTAAATCTTCATGAAACTTCCCTGTTGTATATCTCTCAGGAAGAAATGTCCCTCTTCCAAATAAAAAGTTAACATTTCTAATTGTATTCTTGGTAATACCTCTTCATGTCTTCTCTAAGACTTTGCTCCGTTTACCCCTTCCTCTAATTCCTACATCTTAACCCTCAACCCCTTGCTTCTCTGGGGCTATTAATATGCCCAATTATTTGCTACATCCTCAAAATAATCCCTGGACTTTGAATACTTCTCTAGATTTTGCTCTAGATCTTGCCTTACCTTTACATAAAAATGTCATGAAAGATTAGTCAACCTTTACAGTCTCCAGTTCCCAGTATTCAATTTGCTCAGCCTGTCGTGATCTGAAAGGAGCCCTGGTGGTGCAGTGGTTAAGTGCTCAGCTGCTAACCAAAAGGTCAAAAGGTTGGTTCAAACCCACCAGCTGCTCCCCAGGAGTAAGATGTGGCAGTCTGCTTCCATAAAGACTACAGCCTTGGGAACCCTATGGAGCAGTTCTACTCTGTCCTATAGGGTCACAGTGAGTCGGAATCAACTTGATGGCAATGGGTTTGGGTTTTTTTTTTTTTTTTATTATTATTATTACCATCTGGTGACTATTGTAGTCAAATAAAAATACCAGAAGAAACCAGTTGCTGTCAAGTCGGTTCCAATTCATGGTGACCCCCTCTGTTTCAGAGTAGAACTACACTCCGTAGGGTTTTCAGTGGATGTCATCTTTCAGAAATAGATCTCCAGGCCTTTCTTCCAGTTAGTGGCCAAGTATTTAACTCTTTGCACCACCCAGGGACACCAGTACTGTTGCAAAAAATCTTGATGTGAAAGAGGTAAATTTGTCCAGATAACTCTATTCACCTCTCTGTAACCCTGTTTCTCTCCTTTCCTCTATAGCGGAATTCCTCAGAGTTGCCTGTACTTGCTGTTGGTAATTCTTCTCCTCTCATTGTTTTCTGGACCTCTCCAAACAGGCTTTCCATCCTACCACTCTGCTGAAACTGCCCTTGTCATAATCACCAATTGTGCGTCCTCGGTCCTCACTTTACCTAGTGATCTCTCTCACTTCCCTGAAAGCGCTTCACCTCACTGCCCAGGCACCACACTCCCTTAGTTTTAGTCTACCTCCTGCTGTTTCTCACGTATACCCAGCAAGCCCCCTGCCTTTGATTCCCTTCGCCTGGAATCCATTTCAGCTGTTATCCACAGGGCTTGTTCCCTCACCACGCCACATCAGGCCTTCCTCAATCACCCTTATTAAAATTACACCAGCCCACCAACCACAGCCCTGCCTATTGTTCTCCAAAACTTTACCACCATCTCACATTTTACGTAGGTTATGTGTGTGTTTCTGTCTCTCCCCACCAGCACACACGCTCAATAAGGGCATTTGCTCATTGCTGAATCTGCAGCAAGTCAAATTTGCGGCGTAGTAAACCCAGTGTTTGGAGAATGAATAAACAAAGTGTCCTCATCTCAGCTAAAATTTCAGGTTACCTTCAGCCCCTGTATAGGGTTTTAGAAGCTTTTTCTTAATAACTTGATAGAATATGGGAAGCCTTGTCACTTCTAAAAATTTATTTCTAAGGTTGCCTTATAACTATGTGAGAAATTTTATATTGGCAATATTTAAAACTGTTTTCAGAAATCATAATCTACCAATACTATCTTTCATCATTTAGCCTCACTTTTGTTTAGATGCATGAAAATTCATTTTGCGGGGGAAAGATGCTTTTTATTGTAATTAATAGTTTAAAAAATTTTGTTTTGTTTTAAGGCACCCTGGATAATGTCTAGAAGGCCTCCATCACAATGGCCCAATAAAGGCATAGTGGAGTTTATTAATTTTCAGGCTCGATATAGAAATGATATTGGTTTAGCCTTACAAGATATCACTTTCCAGACTCATGAGGAAGAGAAGGTACCATATATATTATATATTTCACTTTTCCTTTACTCTGAATAAATTCACTGTTAAGATCAAAGTATGATACAGCATTGAATATAAGATGGCCTTTTGTATCAGATTTCATATAAAAGTAATAAAGACGTGGTTGTTGTGTGAAGAGTAAGGTTTCCTTCTATGAAGAAGAAGTATTTGTTTTTTTTTAATTGTTCATACATTTTTGTGAGAAATGGTTCTAGTATATTTTTTTGTTTCCTCTATCAAGTAAATTGCAACGATAAGATTATGCTACCTATAATATGGTGAATCCATGGACTGGCATATTTGTATCATCAATAACATAATTTTTCCATGACTATTTAATGCAGTGGGGAATGCTTGAGATGTAATTTAGTAAATAAAAGCTACATACAAAACTGTTGATGGTATGATATCCGTTTTGGGTTTTGAAAAAGCAAGCAGATATGCACATTAGCAAAAACACTAGAATAATAGCTATAAGGCAAATGGTTCTCTTCACATGCTGGAATTTCAGATGATTTTTGCTTTATACTTTCCTACATTTTTCAAAATGTTTCATAACATTATTTTTCTAATGAGAAAAAATATTCTAAAGATAAAAGTAATAAAAAAATAACTGCAATATCCTATTTTCCCTTTTTCAGAGCTCTTTTGTAGCCCCAAATGTCTGTTTTTCTAACCCTCTAAACCAGGTCCAAGGAGTCCTGGTGGCGCAGTGGTTAAACACTTGGCTGCTAACCGAAAGGTCTGCGGTTCCAACCCACCAGTCGCTCTTCAGGAGAAAGATGTGGCAGTCTGCTTCGTAAAGATTACAGCCTTGGAACCCCTATGGTACAGTTCTACTGTATCCTATAGGGGCACTATGAGTCAGAATCAAGTCAATAGCAATGGGTTTTTTGGAAACCAGGTCCACACCAGTAATGTAAAGGACAAAAATCTTGTCAGAGCAAATGAAATTATTCTGGAATTTTGATTACCCCAATTCATTCAACACCCTCAATAATTTTAATGCAATAGTTGTTTTTATATGCCAGGGATATTTGAAGGCATTCGTTTGGATTTTCTAGCCTCTCTGGCAAAGGGTTCTGGTCCTCTTTGCTTGCTTGCTTGCTTGCTTGTTTTTTGTTGAAAAAAGGTGGAGAAAGCTCCCTTGTTAAAGTCCCAGAACATCAGCTTATTCCCAGCGCCTCCTCTGCCTCCACACTTCGTGGCTAGTCCAGAGATCGTTCAGGTATCTTTCTAGGCTACTGGGTTTCTCTTACATGGCAACCGAATTACCCAAACCTAGAGGAAAAACAGATACAAGCCAAAGCCCTTCCAGTGCATAAGGAGTGTCTGAGTAGAAGGCTGATCCTTAGAAGTCACATTACGTCTTCCATGACAGTCAAGGTTATTCTAGTTGAAAATATTAAATCTTACTGACCCAACACCTAACGTATTTATTGTCAGTTGCCAAGGTCCCATTCTCTTACAGAAATTACAGTGGAAACTGTTCATAATCATTTCGTTACAGATTGGAATTGTGGGAAGGACTGGAGCAGGCAAATCAACACTATCAAATTGCTTGTTTAGAATTGTAGAGAGATCAGGAGGCAAAATTATTATTGATGGGATTGACATATCAACTATAGGACTGCATGACCTTCGTGGCAAACTTAATATTATTCCACAGGTAAAGCCTATTTGCCGTAGTCTTTCTTAACTCACTCCAGGTGATCTTCTTTTTCTTTTTTAATGTGTGCCTTCTAAGCATATAAATCCACTTTTGGAAGCCAGATCATTTTAAATATATTATGAAAAATCACTGTGTAATTGAAACCTATTAAAGACTTACTTTAAAGCATTCTTCCTAAGGGCATTTATCTATTTGACAAATCAGTACATCTCTTTGAAAGTTTCCTTCATAACAGTAAGTGCAAATAAAATTGGAATGAAGAGATCAGACTAAAACACACTAATTTTTTGGGGAAAAAATTACTGAGGACTTTGCTTAGTTAGGAGGAGCCCTGGTGGCACAGTGATTAAGCACTGGGCTACTAACCAAAAGGTTAGTGGTTTGAATCCACCAGCTGCTTTGCAGGAGAAAGATGTGGCAGTCTGCTTCCGTAAAAGTTACAGCGTTGGCAACCCTGAGACCGCTCTATTCTGTCCTATAGGATTGCTATGAGTCAAAATTGAATTGACTTGACAGCAGTGGGTTTGAGGGACACAAAGGGAAAAGGACAAAGGACATTAATTCAGTTAGGTTGATTTTCTCAAGTCTTTTGATTTGTTTATCTGTGGAATCAAAGGAAATTGATCATTAAGAAGTACGGAAATTGTTCTACCCAAAGCAGTTTACAAATACAATGCAATCCCAATCCAAATACCAACAACATTCTTTTAAGAGGTGGAAAAACTAATCATTATACGGAAAGGGAAGAAGCCCCAGATGAGTAAAGCACTATTGAAGAAAAAGAATAAAGTAGGAGGACTAACACTACATGACCTCAGAACCTACTATACAGCTACGGTAGTCAAAACAGCCTGGTACTGGTACAACAACAGATACATTGATCAATGACACAGAAATGAGAACCCAGATGTAAGTCCATCCACCTTTGGTCACCTGATCTTCGACAAGGGCCCAAAGTCCATCAAAGGGGGAAAAGACAGTCTTTTTAACAAATGGTGCTGGCAAAACTGGATGTCTATCTGCAAAAAAATGAAACAGGACCCATACCTCACACCATACACAAAAACTAATTCAAAGTGGATCAAAGACCTAAATATAAAGCTAAAAACTATAAAGTTCATAGAAGAAAAGATAGGATCAACACTAGAGGCCCTGATACACGGCATCAACAGGATACAAACCATAATCAACAACACAAACTCCAGAAGATAAGCTAGATAACTGAGATCTTCTAAAAATTAAACACTTACGCTCATCAAAAGACTTCACCAAAAGAGTAGAAGGAGAACCTACAGACTGGGAAAAAATTTTTCGACAGTACAAGTCAGACAAAGGTCTAATCTCCATAATCTACAAGAAAATCCAACACCTCTACAACAAAAAGACAAAGAATCCTATTAAAAAATGGGCAAAGGAAAGGAACAGACACTTCACCAAAGAAGACATTCAAACGGCCAACAGACACATGAGGAAATGCTCGCGATCACTAGCCATTAGAGAAATGCAAATTAAAACCACAATGAAATACCATCTCATCCCGGCATTACTGGCACGAATCAAAAACACTGGAAATAACAAATGTTGGAGAGGCTGTGGGGAGATGGGAACTCTTATGAACTGCTTGTGGGAATGCAAAATGATACAACCATTTTGGAGAACGATATGGCACTTCCTTAGAAAGCTAGAAATAGAAATACCATACGATCTAGCAATCCCACTCCTAGGAATATATCGTAAAGAAATAAGAGCTATGGCATGAATAGACATATGCACACCCATGTTCATTGCAGCATTGTTCACGATAGCAAAAAGATGGAAACAACCTAGATGCCCATCAACAGATCAGTGGATAAACAAACTATGGTACATACACACAGTGGAGTATTACACAACGATAAAGAACAATGATGAATCTGTGAAGCATTTCATAACATGGATGAATCTGGAGGACATTATGCTGAGTGAAATAAGTCAATCACAAAAGGACAAATATTGTACGAGACTACTACTGTAAAAACTCATAACAAGGTTTACACACAAAAAGAAACAATCTTTGACGGTTACAAGGGATGAGAGGGGTTGGGGGTGGAAATACTAAATAGACAATAGATAAGTGGTAACTTTGGTGAAGGGTAAGACAGTACACAATACTGGGGAAGCCAGCACAACTTGTACAAGGCAAGATCATGGAAGCTCCATGTGTCAATAGACACATCCAAACTCCCTGAGGGACCAAATTGCTGGGCAGAGGGCTGTAGGGTCCATGGTCTCGGGGAACATCTAGCGCAATTGGCATCACACAGTTGATAAAGAAAATGTACTACATTCTACATTGGTGAGTAGCATCTGGGATTTTAAAAGCCTATGAGCAGCCATCTAATTTACTCCACTCGTCTCACCCCTTCGGGAGCAAGAAGAATGAAGAAAACAAGATACAAGGGAAAGATTAGTCCAAAGGACTAATGGACCACAACTACCACAGCATCCACCAGATTGATTCCAATACGCTAGATGGTGCCCAGCTACCACCACTGAGTGCGCTGACAGGGATCACAATAGAGGGTCCCGGACAGAACTGTAGAAAAACATAGAACAAAATTCTAACTCACAACAAATGACCAGACTTACTAGCCTGACAGAGACTGGAAAAACCCAGAGAGTATAGCCCCTGGACAACCTTTTAGCTCAGTAATGAAGTCACTCCTGAGGTTCACCCTTCAGCCAAAGATTAGACAGCCCCATAAAACAAAACGAGACTAATGGGGCACGACAGCCCAGGGACAAAGACTAGAAGACAGGAGGGGACAGGAAAGCTGGTAATAGGGAAACCAAGATCGAGAAGGGAGAGTGTTGACATGTTGTGGGGTTGTTAACCATTGTCATAAAACAATATGTGTACTAACTGTTTAATGAGAAACTATTCTGTAAACCTTCATCTGAAGTACAGTAAAAAATATTTAAAAAAAAAAGTATGGAAATTGGCTCAAGAATATGCCACTGGAGTAAAAAATGGCTTATTCAATTGAGTTTGAGAGACTTAAGCTATGTTCTGAGCATTTATAAAATACCTTTATATTATCTTCTTCTAAAAATACTAAGATACTAAAATCTCTTGGTCATGTTGCTTAGGTATATACTTGTATTAATGAATTTACTTCAAAACAAATTTGAGTATAATCTGGAATTCTGGCAGGGTAAATTTTTAGTGGAGAAAAGAGACATTAGTTACTCCTCTTTTATAAATAAATACAAGTGTAGTAAAATATAGTTTTATCAGGCATCTTGCTATAGTGGAAAGAACATGGGTTTAGCCTTTTTTGAATTCTAGTTACTTACCTTCTGTGTGGCCTGAGGTAAGAGCTCTTTGGAACCTCCTGCTTAATGTCTGTAAAATGGAGATAATATCTACCTTTCTGGGTCAGTATGCTTATTAATAATATTCTATATATACTATATATTATAATCATACTGCATTATATAGTAGCCTTGACTAAATGGGCAGCTGTCATCACCATTATTCTTGTGGTTGTTGTTGATATTAGTAATAATAGGAGACAAAAAGAATCAAGAACCTTATAACAGTTTAATCCAAGTTATAGTTTATTCTGGTTCTTTCCTGCTTTTGTTTTAAATATAAAATGAATTTGATAACCATGTTCAGTTTGATTACTTTGCTTTTTCCTTATTTTCTGAGTCTGATTTAAAAAAAAAAAACAAAAAACTCTTAACCATGTGACAGTAGGATTCCATTATTCTCTAGGACCCCATTTTATTTTCTGGAACCCTTCAAATGAACCTGGATCCTCTGGACAAGTATTCTGACGCTGAGCTGTGGGAAGTGCTGGAATTGTGTCACTTAAAAGAGTTTGTGCAATCCCTTCCCAAGAAGCTGCTGCATGAGGTCTCTGAGGGCGGTGAAAACCTCAGGTAAGCTTCTAAGAACAGAGCTTGCTGAGGTTATTCTTTCCAAACTCCTTAGAAACTTGAATTGGCCTCAAAGGGAAACTGCTTCTGAGCCACAAGGAGCGTGTTTGGTCTGTTCGAAGTGCACTATTGCTGATTCCCTCTAGGGAAAAGGGATAAGAATAAAATGGTAGCCGCAGGCTGGGAAACTGCTGGTAAAGGGGAAGAATAAAGAACAATGCAGTATGAAAGGTCACTATTTTAACTGAATCTTGTAAACATTCCTATGATATTAAAAAAAAAAAAAAATTGCTGTCCAGTCAATTCTGACTCATAGCAACCCTATAGGGCAGAGTAGAACTGCCCCATAGGGGCAGTTTCCAGGGAGAGGCTGGTGGATTCAAACTGCCAACCTTAATTGAATCTTGTAAAGATTCCTACCATAATAGCCTTTAAACTTATTTACAACAAATGTAAGGGGCTACTTTTTCTTCATCACTGTTTGATGTCTTATGACAGTCACCTTCATGTGATCAGAGACATTTATGACAGTCACCTTCATGTGATCAGAGACATTAGGAAAGTGTGACCTAGACCCCTCAAGACCCTGCACGACGTAATTCCATGTTTTTCTCTTATTCCTTTCTCCCTTCCTGTCTCTGTATCTGTCACGTTGGCTTTACTGCTTCATGACCATGTCAGGCCAACTCCTGTCTGCCTCAGGGAGTTTGCATCTGCTGTTCCCCTTACCTGGAACAAATGTCCCCCGGAAATCTGCATGGTTCCCTTTCCATTTCCTTCAGTTCTTGACTCAAAAGGCAACTTTTCAGTCAGGATTTGTTTGGCAAGCCCATCTAAAATGCCAGTCCCCAGACCCACACTTTATATTCCCCTTTCCTGGGTACTTAAATTCTTCTTATTATACACTTAAAAAAGAAAAAAATCAAACCCATTGCCATCAAGTCGATTCCTACTCATAGCGACTCTATAGGACAGGGTAGAACTGCCCCATAGGGTTTCCAAGGAGCGACTGGTGGATTCGAACTGCTGATCTTTTGGTTAGCAGCTGAGCTCTTAACTGCTTTGCCAGTAGGGCTCCATTATACACTTAGTGTATTAAAAAATACTGTTGTATTCATAGGAGTCCCTGGGTAGTGCAAATGGTTAAACACTTGGCTACTAATCGAAAGGTTGGCAGTTAGAATCCACCCAGAGGCACCTCAGAATGAAGGCGTGGCAATCTACTCCTGAAAATTCAGCCATTGAAAACCCTATGGAGCATAATTCTGCTCTGACACACATCGGCTTGCCATGAGTGAGAATCGACTCAATGGTAAATGGCTATTATATCCTGTGCTATATACTCTTATACTCTTGTAACGATACATTTTACTCAGTTATCCTGTTTACGTTTTCCCTCTCCCCATAAGAACATAAGCTCCATGCAGAAAGAGATTTTTTTCTGTTTTGTTCATTGCTCTATCCCTGGAACCTGGACAAATGCCTGGCACATAGTAATCGCTCAATAAATATTTGTTGCATGAATGAATGTTTGTGGGGCGAGGTAGAAAGAGAATGAGTAACAGTATAATCAGAATTTTATTATTTTTATTTTATTGTGGTTTAGGTGAAAGTTTACGGCTCAAGTTAATTTCCCATTCAGAAATTTATACACATATTGTTTTGTGACATTGGTTGCAATTCCCACAATGTGACAACATGCTCCCCCTTTTCACCCCAAGGTTTCCTGTGTCCATATGTCCAATTCCTGTCCCTTCCTGCCTTCTCGTCCTGCTTTTGGACAGGAGCTGCCCATTTGGTCTTATATATTTGATTGAACTAAGAAGCACGTTCCTCACATGTATTATTTTTTGTTTTATAGGTGTGTCTACGCTTTGTCTGAAAAGCAGGCTTTGGGAATGGTTTCAGTACTGAGTTAGCAGAGCATATGGGGGCCATAGTTTTGGGGGTTTAATCAGAATTTTAGAACAGTAAAAGTGTAACCATAAAGTACATGGTTGAAATTAGTTTACTGCTCTTTTTTTTAACAGCGTTGGACAACGGCAGCTTGTCTGTCTTGCTCGTGCTTTGCTTCGAAAAACGAAAATTCTTATCTTGGATGAGGCAACAGCCTCCATCGATTTTGAGACTGATAACTTGGTGCAGACCACTATCAGGAAGGAGTTTTCTGATTGTACCATCCTGACCATTGCTCACAGACTGCATTCTATCATTGATTCCAACAGGTATGCTTTATTTCTTTTCAAAAAGGAAACATTTCCCGCTTAGATAGCTATTGGGCATAGAAAACATGCTTAACTCCTTGCCACTGTTAAAGAGTTTTATCTACACTGAGAAATAAACATTTTTTCTGATGGCATAGAAGATATTTTCTAATTAGAGGAAAATGTTAATGCTAAAAGAATAACATTAGAAAACTTGATTTCTTTCCTAAGTTAACTAGTCCCTATATTTTATACTGAAATTAACTAGTTCACACAGTGATTTAAAACTTACATTAGCAAGACCAAAAACGGTGAGATGAAATATTGATTATAGGTTGTCTGACTGGCTTCCCTTCATGCTGCAGAGTGCTTGTTCTCGACTCTGGGAGGATTGTAGAATTCGAAGCGCCTCAGAACTTGATACACCAGAAAGGACGTTTCTTTGAAATGATAACAGAAGCTGGAATAACTCAAGACTTAGAGGCAAAAAAATAAGTAATGTTAGCTGTATGTTGATTATACAGGATAAGAAAAAAAACCGTAGTGTATAAAAAGAATAATGATGGGGCATAAATGCACAAGGGCAGGCCCCTGGCTACGAGTTGGCACAAATGCCTATAGGCCCCATGGCTTCTAATCAGCCTGGGTTGCACCTTACCTTCTCTCTTCCATTCATGCCGTCTGAAGTGCCCACCTTCTCCACTGTCTAAAGTGCTAAGAACCACTTATCCTTTAAGCCACTGACTTCATTCAGTATTCATGTCCTCCACAAAGCCTCTCCTCATCCCCCTCCCTGCACCCCAGTCTGGTTTAGATGCCCCCTTTCTGTGCTTTCATTAGTCCCATGTGCATACTTTTAACATGGCAGGTACCATATTCTATTTTAATTCTTTTACTTGACTGTCTCCTCTACTAGATAAACATACTTGCAGGTCAGAGTCCAGTTTTAATCATCCTTGTATATTACTTTCCTAGCATAGTGCCTTTCACGTAGTTGATACCCAACAATTGTTTGTAGAAGGAACAACTATTTTTGTTCAAGTAATGTGATAAATGTGCTTATATGCATATAGAATATGTGCTAAGCTACTGTATGGTTGATGAAATGATAGAGAAATCATGGAAATAATATTATGAGCTATTCAGCTGCCCTTTGGAAAAGATAATTATATATTAACTGTATTTGATGATCTGCTTTATTTAAAAATGTTTTATAATATGTTTAGTATTTACCTGTGAGTAAAAAAAAAAAACACTATTTTCTACGTAATATCATATTTTGTCTGGATCAGTCTGAGTGGGTTATGCATTATATGGTATCCATTCAGGAGAAGATGATTGATTTGTTGTACTAATCATATTTGAAGGGCTTTTTCATTTAGTAGTTTTATGTAATAGAAGCAATATTATTTTTCTGAATTGCGCTTCCAATTTGAAGTGTTCAAACTTCAGTGGTATTTTCCTTTCAAGATAATTTTAATAAAATATTTTAACATGTCCTTTAAGGGTTGTTAGCCGTTTCTTTTATCCTTCCTTTGTACATACACAACTCTTGGCTCATCCCCTGAGTATTTGTGAAAAGTTTCCTTAAATTATTGAATCATGTACTATCTACTGTCTCAACCCATTAGAATCTTCTAACGTAACTTCAAGTAAGCTACTTGAAGTTTTGTCCTGTCTTTGCAATCCCTAAAGTGCCTGCCACTGTGTTTTATACTCAGTAAACATTGAATTGAATAAACATCTATGGAATTCCGTTTAAAAAAGGATCTAGATATCTCATTAACATCAGTTAACAGATGCTTTAGTCTCTTTACTCCTATAGTTTTAGTGAATCAATCAGAGCAGTTGCATAATTTAAACATCTAATGGTAAATCAACAGTAGAATTGATAAACTGTAGTATATTCACACAGTGGAATGCTATACAGTTATCAGAATGAACGTATAGCAGCTACATGCCGCAACGTGGATGCATCTCACAAACACAATGTTGAATGAAAGAAGCTAGCACAAAAGAATACTATTATATGATTCCATTTATATAAAAGTAAAAATTAAAATTTAAAAAGGAAAAACTAATCTGCAATTGTAAGTCAGGATACTGGTTACCCTTGGCGAGGAGAGGAAATTATTGAAAGAGTATACAAGATGAGCTTCAGGGATAATGGTTACGTTCTGTTTCTTGATCTAGGTATTAGTTTAGTTAGTGAAAATTCATTGAGCTCTATACTTAGGATGTGTGCGATTTTCTACATATATAGTAGTTAAAGGATAAAAATAAGGCAATGATAAAATAACTATGAAAATTACTAACTGCCAAAGGTACTCAAAGATAATTTTATTGTGTTTTGAGAAATTAATGTTTCATTCAAATTTCAATTGCGTACATCAGGCTTGTTCAATCACTGAAGTACACTAGAGGCTAAGGGTAGGGTACTCAAAATGACTGGATTATAGAGACGTAGTATATTTGATTTGAATAAAAATCATGTTTATTCAATGTCTGATTTGTGTAAAGATTGTAACTTCAAAACAGATTAAGAAAATAAATAATGATTATAATTTCAGTATGCAGAAATGTTTGTCTTAGCTGATAGAAGGAAAATTCTAGGTAACATTAAGTTGACTTCTTTCAGGATAAGGAGAATATTTATTATTGAAAGCCCACCATGTGCTGGGTAACGTGCAAGGCACTAGAATCATTTGTCATTTTCAGTTCTCACTGAAGATTATAACAAAGGTATTATTATTAACTATATTTTACCAAAAATGATGCTTTGATTCCAAGAGGATCTTTGCCAGTAAGATGTTGAGCCCGGGTCCACGTGACTACAGAACTATTGATGCTGTTTCCAGTTCTCCTCATTCTTAGCAGAGTCTCTTAAAGAGAGCTTGTAGTTTACAAATGAGGAAGAAAGATTTTAAACCAATACCTTCGTAAAATAGTAAATGGAACTAAAGCTTCAAATATATTATTAGTAAATTTAACCCATAAGAAATACCCATTTTTGTAGGTCAAAAAATCGTTGAATATACTTCTGAACATAGCTTTGATATCAGACTTAGTGTTAAGGAGATTTAATATTGTATTTTAATATGCATACAAATAATAAATAGTTCTGCCTGTTATAGAGGGCTTTTCTTTTAGGAAAAATAATCAAGAATAAGAAAGTAATTTAAAATTATGGTACATACCCATAATGGAATACTACGCAACGATAAAGAACAATGATAAATCCATGAAACATCTCACAACATGGATGAATCTGGAGGGCATTTTGCTGAGTGAAATAAGTCAGTCACAAAAGGACAAATATTGTATGAGACCACTATTATAAGAACTCAAAAAAAGCTTTACTCACAGAAAAAAACATTCTTTGATGGTAGGAAGGGAGCGGAGGGGAAATCACTGACTAGATAGTAGACAAATGTCAACTTTGGTGAAGGGAAAGACAACACACAATATAGGAGAAGTCAGCATGACTTGACCAAAAAACAAAGGCATAGAAGATTCCTAGACACAGCCAAACATCTGGAGGAACCAAGTTGCTGGGGCTGGGGGCTGAGGACCATAGTCTTGAGGGACATCCAGATCAATTAGCATAACATCGTTCCTAAAGAATATGTTCTACATCCTGCTTTGGTAAGTAGCATCTGGGGTCTTAAAAGCTTGCTAGTGGCCATCTAAGATACATCTATTATTCCCATTGCATTCAGAGCAAAAGATAATGAAGAAAACAAAAGACACAAGGAAAATATTAGCCCTAAGAGCTAAAGGACCACATAAACCAGAGCCTCTACCAGCCTGAGCCCAGAACAACCAGATGGTCCCTGGCTACCACCTCCAGCCACTCTGTCAAGGATCACAACAGAGAGTCCCAGACAGAGCAGGAAAAAAATGTAGAACAAAATTCAAATTCATGAAAAAAAATCAGATTTACTAGTCTGACGGAGATTGGAGGAACCCCCCAGACTACGGCCCCCAGGCACTCTGTTAACTCAGAACTGAAACAACTCCTGAAAACCACTTTTCAGATAAAATTAGATAGGCCTATAAAACAAACAATAAAACACATGAGGAATGTGTTTCTTAGTTCAATCAAGTGTACAAGACCAAATGGGCAACTCTTGCCCAAAAGTAAGATGCCAAGCAAGAAAGGACAGAAATTGGACAAATGGACACAGGGAATCCAGGGTGGAAAGGGGGAGAGTGCTGTTGCATTGTGGGGATTGCAATCAATGTCAGAAAACAATATGTGTGAAAATTTTTAAATTAGAAACTAACTTGAGCTGTAAACTTTCTCCTAAAGCATAATAAAATTAAAAAAGAAAAAGAAAAGAAAATGTCTTAGTTATCCAGTGCTCCTATAACAGAAATACCACAAGTGGATGGCTTTAACAAACAGAAATTTATTCTCTTACAGTCTAGGAGGCTAGAAGTAGAGATTCAGGGTGCCAGCTCCTGGGGAAGGCTCACTCTCTCTATTGGTTCTAGGGGAAGGTCCTTGTCATCAATCTTCCCTGGTCTAGGAGCTTCTCAGCACAGGGACCCCAGATCCAAAGGACACACTCCCTTCCCAGCGTTTCTTTCTTGGTGGCGTGAAGTCCCTCTCTGCTTTGCTTGATACTCTGTTTTATATTTGAAAAAGAGACTGACTCAAGATACAACCAAATCCTGTAGATTGAGTCCTGCCTCATTAATATAACTGCCTCTAATCCTACCTCATTAGGATAGGATAATCACATCAGATCACAAAATGGTAGACAACCACACAATACTGGGAATCATGACCTAGGCCAGTTGACACACATTTTTAGGGGACACAATTCAATCTATAACAGAAAGTAATATAGTAGTTAAGAGTTTAGGTTCTGGAGATAGGGTGCCTTGTTAAATCCCAGCTCAACCACTACTTACTATCTGTGTAAACCTGGGGAAGTTAACTTGTCTGTGCATATTTGGTAGTAATAATTGCACCTACCTCCTAGATGAGTTTGGAAAAGTAAACATATTGTTGTTGTTGTTATTGTTGTTAGGTGCCAAACAATTGGTTCTGACTCATAGCGACCCTAGGTACAGCAGAACAAAACACTACCCAGTCCTGCTCCATCCTCACAACCATTGCTATATTTGAGCCCATTGTTGCAGCCACTGTGTCAATCCACCTCATCAAGTGTCTTCCTTTTATTTGTTGATCCTATACCTTTCCAAACTTGATGTCCTTCAGGGACTGGTCCCTCCTGATAACACGTCCAAAGTACATGAAATGAAGTCCCAACGTCCTTGATTTCAAGGAGCTCTCTAGCTGTATTTTTTCCAAGACAGACTTATTTGTTCTTCTGGAAGTCCGTGGTATATTCATTATTCTTCTCCAACACCATAATTCAAAGGCATTAATTCTTCTTGTGTCTTCGTTATTCATTGTTCAGCTTTTGCATGCATATGAGGTAATTGAAAATATCATGGCTTAGGTCAGCCACACCTTAGTCCTCAAAGTGACATCTTTGCTTTTCAACACTTTAAAGAGGTCTTTTGCAGAAAATTCGCCCAATGCAATACGCCGTTTGAATTCTTAACTCCTGCTTCCAAGGGCGTTGATTGTGAATCCAAGTAAAATGAAATCCTTGACAACTTCAATATTTTCTCTATTGATTATGATATTGCTTATTGGTCCAGTTGTGAGGTTTTTTGTTTTCTTTATGTTGAGGTATAATCCATATTGAAGGCTCTAGTCTTTGATCTTCATTAGTAAGTGCTTCAAGTCCTCTTTCAGCAAGCAAGGTTGTGTCATGTGCATATTACAGGTTGTTAATGAGTCTTCCTCCAATCCTGATGCCGAATTCTTTTTCATATAGCACAGCCTCTGGGATTATTTGCTCAGCATATAGATTGAATAAGTGGTGAAAGGATACAACCCTGATGCACACCTTTCCTAATTTTAAACCACGCAGCATCCCCTTGTTCTGTTTGAACGACTGCCTCTTGGTCTATGTACACATTCCGCATGAGCACAATTAAGTCTTCTGGAATTCCCACTCTTCAGAATGTTTTTCATAATTCGTTATGATCCACACAGTCGAATGCATTTGCATACTCAATAAAACACGGGTAAACATCTTTCTGGTATTCTCTGCTTTCAGCCAGGATCCCTCTGACATTGGCAATGATATCCTTCTTTCCAAGTCCTCTTCTGAATCTAGCTTGAATTTCTGTAAGTTCCCTGTCAATG